GTCGAATAACAATCGGAGTGTTCCTTGACATGAGAGGAACTTTCGACTCAGTTGACCGCGAAGCTCTGATGAGCGCCCTACTTCGAAAAGGAACTTACTGATGTCACTGTACTCACATACCTCTGGTCGCTTAAAGGTCTATGATGAACTGAGTAAGACATTCGTCACCAACAGCGGCGTTCGTCCCGTTCAATTTAGTCGTAGACGAAATACTGGTCTTCAGAAAGTAGCTATTAAATGGGCGGCTGGAGAAAAGCTGAGATGACGTCATTTGTCTGTTCGAATGTATGGAGGACACGTAAAGCACACTTGATAGAATAACAAGTGCTGCTCTAAAACTAAATGGCCAGGAAGTAGTAATAGTGGAGCACTTTTCTCACTTAGGTAGTTGCGTGACCAATGAAGGTAGCGCAGAAAGGAGATAACCACCTGCATTTCCAAGGCTCGAGTAGCATATCAGTTTTTTCAGTTTTTACTACCATTAACCATACACTTTCGTACGCCGGTTTTAGTTGCCCATTTGGATAAAAAAGAGCGAAATGAAGACTGGAATGTCGAAGTAAATTCAAGCGGAAGATGGGGAATACATATAGAGTGGCGTTAGGAAAATAACGAGCGCCACCCTGCCATTTCACTCAGTGTAGCTAACCATCGGTGACCATCATCCCGAGGTCCCCAGCCAGGGAGCCTATGTGACCTAGTCTCCCGGTTAGGGTTTTCATACCCTCATGTCAGGTCTTAGCTTGACTGCCCTTTGTTTTTTTCCAATCGCTACAAGCCTTGGCAAACATCGTTCGCCGTGGCAACCCATCTGGTGATATGCGTAGCACATGCCTCAACCAGCGTAATCTATGGAGATCGATCACTTACTGGAGTGGACGACCGCGACTGCCCAAAACTCATCACGACGAGACTGCACCTTGACGCGGTGTGATGGCTTGTGTGCCTCCATAACCCTGCGAGCTACACTTGATGGCTTTTCACAGCCGTAGATTCAATTATGCCTGAAAGGTCAACAGGTAGAGGCCAGACGAAGCTCAGTCTCACAAGACAGCTGCGTGGGCACCCCCTGGCTTCTTTCTTCTATCCACACCCGCCCTTAAAGAGGTCACTCCAGTAAATAAACACGGTGAGGGGCAGTTTACCGGTCAAAAAAACCCCGCAGATGGACCACCTGGGGCTTCCTCTCGACGGTGGGAGAAGTCTTCGCACTTCATTGGACAGCTACCGCCCAAGCTTCCTCTCGACGGTGGGAGAAGGCTACGCACTTCATTGGACAGCTACCGCCCACCCAAGCTTGGCAGCCCCCAGCC